AACAGCACCCAAGCCCAGAGTTCAGTCCCCATGACTGACAAAAAAAAAAATAAAAAAGCAACTTGAAAACCACTATTCTGCAGCTTATGTATATTATCATTTATGTTTCAGGTATGGTAACCCAAATGTATCTCTATATGTATAAGGCCTTAATAGCTTTCTATGATAATCTGTGTTTTCTTAGTAAAGTAAAATGGACAGTAAAGAAATTGGATTTGGGCAGTGGGACAAAGGGTGAGCCAATTCACCAGTGAAACCCACTAGACACTATGTTGGAAATAAACTATACAACTTGAGGGGAGGGAAATCAGGAGGGGAAAAACTGGGAGAGAATGAGGGAGGGGGTGACACTGTTCAAAAAGGAAATGTACTAATTACCTGACTTTATGTAAGTATAACCTCTTTGTATATTACCCTTACAATAAAATTTATTTAAAATAAAGGGATAGGATTTGGGGATGGAAAAGAGAAAGATATCAAATAAGTCTATGTTAATGGAGCCAAATTTTGATACTGTAAGTAGTTTTGTTTTGAGTCCAACTCGAAAGACCTTTCATTCACACACTATAGTTAAGTATCTTTTAAGTATTCTATAAAATGAAGACTGACCTCATGGAAATTATTTGCTTTTTCCTCAATATAATAACATGAAAATGTCATGCTTTTGATTTCAGAAAAGAAAAACAAATTAGAAGTGTAGAGGAAGAAATTGAACGAGAAAAACAGGCCGCAGATGGCATTATCAAAAATATGTCTTCTGAAAAACAAGCAAAGTACATAGAAATGAAAAGCACAAACGAGAAATTGTTGCAGGTAATACTGTTTACTGCTATATACTAGCCATGTAGCAATCACTACACATCACAGCAGCATCAGTATCTCCTGAGCTCTTCACTATACCTACTGACCAGTATCTGTATTGTAACAAGATCCTCAACTAATTCAAGAGTATTTAAAATTTGAGAAAAGTACCTATATTTGTAGTACTAGGGTTTGAACTCAGCACATTGTATTTGCTTGAAGGTGCTTTACCACTTGAGCCATGCCTTTAGTCCATAGCTTTGTTATAATTATTTACTTGTGTGCGTATTTCATTTTTGCATGTCATATAAATAGATTAAAATGCTTGTAATTTTATAGGCTTTTAATGGAATCATTAAAGAAATGTCATGAATCAGCACCATATGGATTTTTAACTTGTTTTTGTTTTTCTTCCTGCTTAATAAGCAGCAGGCATCTTATCTGCCATCTCCCTGTTTTGAATTATTGTCTCCTGATCATGTTACTTAAATAATCAATTTAAGTGCCTGATGATGGGTTACTGATAATCCTTCCCCTAGTTCAGCCATGATGGTTCCTTTTATGCCAGATTACCTTTAACCAGAAAGCTGGCAAAGAATTAGGCCTGATAAGAATATTGTTTTAGTTCCTCAGACATTCTTTCACTGACATTTTAGTATCACTTGTTATTTTAGAAAAGGTTTATATAACACAATGAAATATTAAACACAGTTATTGCCAAAATACCCCCAGAGTATTTTTAATTTTGAGTGGGGCTGTGAGTAACCAGTTCAGATATCTTACCCAATTGGTGAATGTTGTGAGTTGAGTGTGTGTGTGTGTGTGTGTGTGTGTGTGTGTGTCTATGAGAGAGAAGAGAGTGAAGAGATAGAGATAGAGGGGTATGTGTGTATATAGATCCTGGCCCTAAAATAAAATATACAAAAGACACAAACATTTTGTAAAGATTTTAAATCATGATTTTAAATAATGATACTCAATTTGAAAGTTTTTGATATATAATGTTCTCAAAACACTGCAATGATTCACTATGAAAGGTTCTAGTTACCTTTAACATGCTTATAAAATGTTTTTTGAAGTTAGATGGCAATGATTTTAGGAATAATGAAACAATGAAATCTTAATAAATTCTAGTTAATATGTAAGATACTAATGAAAGATACTTGCAAAATTTACATTGTCACATCTGTCAAATCCCTATTTGAAATGTTGAAAATTCTTACCATAATGGATATTTATATTTTTTTTCCTTAGGAATTAGATATACTTCAGCAGCAACTAGATTCACTGAGCATGAAAAAAGAAAGCCTGGAAACCGTAAGTTTAAATCAAATAAGACTTCTTATCGCACACAGCTATGAAAGTTAATTCAGCTATTAATGGAATTCATCCAAGTATATTTGCACATATTTACTTAGCAGTTTACTAACAAGAGTGAAATAATTTCCTTCCCATTCTGGACCACTGAGATCCTAGATTATTAATAAATTAGATGCAGTTATTGAATAGGATAAATCTTTCTGCCATCTAGGGCTCTGCCAAAATAACCTTTAAGGTTATACAAAAATCTAATGGCAATTTAGGTACACGCACAAGAAACTAAAAACAGATTATGAGATTGCCAGATTGTCTCCAAAAACATTGCTCCATTTTCTACTCCTAGATATAATCCTGATGCAAGAATTATTCACCTTTTTCCTGCTTTAATATATAAATGTTACTGTTGGTATTTTTTTATTTGCTTGGTTTTTGAGATGCTTGGTTTTATTTTTTGTTTTCTGGTTTTTTTTGCTTTATTCTGATTGTGTTTTGTTTGTTTGTCTTGATCTGGAACGCAGTACCTTTTTTACTGTTGGGTAATTATTTTTCAAATGGAGTGTTACCTTTTTGTACACTGGCTGGCATGGATCATGATCTTCTTGTTTAGGCCTGCTTCATGAGATGACAGGGACATCATCCAACCACCTTATTGAATGTGATGATCTCACAAAAACATTTTTTGTTTGTTTGGGTTTTTTTTTAACTGTATTTTTTTGTGCCTTTTCTTTTTTGGTCAAAGAATCTTTTTTTTTGTTGTTGTTGGTCGTGGGGCTTGAACTCTGGGCCTGGGCGCTGTCCCTCAGCTCTTCAGCTCAAGGCAAGCGCTCTACCACTTGAGCTACAGCGCCACTTCCAGCCTTTTCTTTTTTGGTACTGAGGATCGAACCCAGGACGTTGCACTTGCTAGGCAGGTGCTTTGCCACTGAGCTACATCCCAGCCCTCACTAACTTTTTTGCCCGCCTTAACTTTGACCTGAAGTCCTCTTGATCCCTACCTCCTGAGTTGATTTTCATTTCTTTACACAGTCCATTAGCTGCTGTATTTTCATGTCATTGGCACTTCACTATACTCACTGTACATCAATGTTCAGTTTGGTGTACTATGCTGCTTAATTTTCCTGATTTCCTATAGAGTCAGGTGTAGTTAGGTTCTAGTTTATCTTCTGACTTATGGGAGAATGCATAATTTGTAGTTCATTTTTTTGATAATTTGCTAAGGAAATTACCTAATTAAAAATATTAATGTGATTATATATCATTGTCTACCTGCATATACACATACACACATTTCTTTTTCTTGACCCTCTAAAGGTTCATGGAAGAATCACATTTAATACTAATACAGCTGTCTTGTAGAATTTTTCACTCAGACAGAATGGGAGAGAAGCAAGTCTTTTTTCACTCGCTTAGTTACATAGGAAAAAGTGTGAGTTTTAACTTATATTTAGTTTTGTACTGATAGCACTTTTTTTTTGGTATCAGTGTATATATACTTAAAATAACAATAATTTTAAACTGGGAAAGTGAAAGAAGGGGTGACATTGTCCAAAAAAGAAATGTACTCATTACCTGTACTCATGAAGTGGTAACTGTCTGTACAATACCTTGATAATAACAATAAAATGATGGTAAGAAAACAACATGAGTTTTAAACACAATTTACAGTATTCTCAAAGCAACAAAATAAGTCACTATTTCTATTTAACTTTTGCTTAATTTCATTTATTTCGGGTTTATTGCTCAAGAAAACTGCCAATCAGCTAGTGTTTATTGAATATCTAGTTTGTGTTCACTACTCTGCAAAGTATCCTCTTGCTTATTTCAGAGAGGTGCAAGAATATTGGCTTGCAAAAAACTTAGTCTTGTATATTTAAGAACAGTTTTATCAAGATACAAGGAAGTGCATATAATTTTAGGCAAAGAAAGAAGATAGTATGAAAAAGGGAACCTCAAAACATATATATACTGCATTCTCATGCCTTTACTTTTTCTTACTTGACCTTCTGCTCTGCTACATAAGCTATTTCTATAACCTATTGCTTGTGGACTTTCAATTATTTCCCTTGCCTATTTTTCCATCCCCAGAAAAAAAAAAAGAAAAGGAGGAAGAGGAAAAAAGAGGAAGAGAAAGGAAATAAAAAAAGATTTTGTCCTAATTTATGTTGTAGTCTTGATTTCAAATACCATTATTTCCTTGTGTGTATGTGTGCCTATCCTGGGGCTTGAACTCAGTGCTTAAGTTCTGTCCCTGAGCTTTCTTTTTTTTTTTTTTTGGTCCAGTCGTGGGGCCTGAACTCTGGGCCTGGGCGCTGTCCCTCAGCTCTTCAGCTCAAGGCTAGCGCTCTACCACTTGAGCCACAGTGCCACTTCCGGCTTTTTTCTTTTTGCTTATGTGGTGCTGAGGAATTGAACCCAGGGCCTCAGGCATGCAAGGCAAGCGCTCTACCACTGAGTTACCTTCCCAGCCCCTCCCTGAGCTTTCTTGCTCAGTGCTAGTACTCTACCACTTGAGTCACAGATCCACTGCCCACGTTTTTGGTGGTCAATTGGAGATGAGTCTCAGACTTTTCTATCTAGGCTAGCTTTGAGCCTTGATCCTCACATCTCAACCTCCTGTGTAGCTAGGATTACAGGCATGAGCCACCTGTGCTCCACTGTTAACTCTTCTATTTTTGTTAATTTGAAATTTTTTTTACATCTCATATCCCCAATTCCTTCTTCTGTAAAATGGAGATAATAATATTCTCTCTTGTAGACTAATGTTTTGAGTGTATAACATATAAAAAATAATCCTAGTATTTGGCAGAATGACACGGGAAGTTCATGAGTTTGAGACTAGACTGTTAAAAATCCAAACCCAAGTAATAGTAACAAGACTATGGTGCCTGGCACAGAACAAGTGCTCATTGAATAATGGGTTTAAATGTCAAATTATCACCATTAGTACTACCATTATTCCTAGATTTTTTTGTTATCAAATAATAGTTTTATCACAATGCCTATTTATATCATTTTAGATATTTTCTTTGTTTGTTTGTTTCTTTCTTCCTTTTGTTGTTGTTGTTGTTGTTGGTCATTGGCCTGAACTCTGGACCTGGGCACTGTCCCTCAGCTCTTCAGCTCAGGGCTAGCGCTCTACCACTGGAGCCACCACACCACTTCTGGCTTTTTCTGCTTATGTGGTGCTAAGGTATCAAACCCAGGGCCTCATGCATATAAGGCAAGCACTCTACCGCTCTACCACTCTACCACTGAGCCACCTACCCTAGATATTTTCTTTTTGAACCAGAGAGTAGTGGTAAATTCAGAAATGCTCTACTTAATGTTGGCTTACTAATGATGCCATAACAGAGTGTCACAACCGGGTAGCTTAAAGCAACAAAACTAGTCTCTTATAGTTCTGGGGGCTAAAAGTATAATCAAGGTGTCCGCAGAGCTTTTCTCCCCTGAGACATCAAAACTCCTTCCTAGTGTCTGGTAGTGGTCATCAGTCTTGATCTTCCTTGACTTGCAGTTGCATCATGTCAGTCTTTGTGTTATCAGTCAAGGTCTCTTGCTCTACCCAATTAATCTCTTTTCTTATAATACTAGTCATGTTGGATTAGGCCCTAATGACCTCACCTTAACTTCCTAACTAAAATGGCAATAATGAGCTTTTCCTTTTTTTAATTTTTTGTTCTCAGGAAATAGCACACTCCCAGGTAAAACAGGAGGCTGTATTGATGCATGAAAAGCTTTATGAGTTAGAATCTCATCGAGATCAAATGGTTGCAGAAGACAAAAGCATGGGATCTCCAATGGAAGAGAGGGAGAGATTACTTAAGCAGGTAGAAGAAAAAAATACCTATTTTCATATGCCAGGCTATGTTGAGCATGTTGAGTTGTTTTATTGAAGTGGTATGAATTGATGAGAAAGCCAGTAAGTTGATTAAAAAGTAGCAAATAATTAGCAATACCTAAATATGAAGTATTTAACAAAAAAACGACAGAAAAGTCATTTTCCCATATAAAGTGTTCTTTACATTAAAACTTCATTTTGTATTATGTTTTTTTATTTGAGCTATTCTTTCATGTTTTGGATCTTTAGTTGAAAAAACTTGAGATTCTTAGCTGGGTACCAGTGGCTCACGCCTGTAATCCTAGATACTGAAGAGGCTGAGATCTGAGGATCACAGTTCAAAGTCAGCCCCTGCCCCAGCAGGAAAGTCCGTGAAACTCTTATGTCCAATAAACCACCAGAAAACCAGAAGTGGCGCTGTGGCTCAAGTGTTAGAGTGCTAGCCTTGAGCTGAAGAGCTCAGGGACAGCTCCCAGGCTCAGAGTCCAAGCCCCATGACCAAAAAAAAAAAAAAAGAATCTTATAGAAAATAGATTCTGTTATTTGGTTGGGATCAAATTACTTTGTGCAGTTATTAGTATTAGTACCTCCATGAAGGGAATGGAATTACAATGTACTACAAAAATACGTGCCACAAAACCACGTCATGTATTTTCAAAGCGTTACTATCTGAAGTTTAGCTTATAATTAGTATGTCACCTATTTAGAGACCCTTAGGAGAAGAATATATATTTGAATATAGCTGCAATCAGCAACTCTTTTCTGATCTTAGGGCAAGACCATGAACTGGTTCCAAGTGGTTTCCAGTCCCACTGAATTTCTTAGAGCCTTATGCATCCATTTAGGAGCTATTAAAGTGTTAGAATTATTCCTGAGTGATGTTAAAGTTTAGATCTTCTAAAATTTCTTGAAGAGAAATTATATATATGAGGTCAAGAAATGATATATGGTACATAGAAACCCTAAAAGTTAATCATTACTTATCTGAAATTCAGTTTTAACTGGGCTTGCTAAATCTGGTAGCCTTACAATGGGTGGGTCTCAGATACCTTAGATCCTTCTATCAACTAGATCCTTGTCTGAATGATAGCCCCTTGAGGATAGATGTGAGTGTATCTATTATTCTTCCTTTGAGAAAGAATGAAGTAATCTGAGTAGTTTCTTATGATTTTCCCTATAACGTTAAAGGTTGATTTTAAGAAGGAGATGTTAAGATTTGACATTTTAACATAACTCTACAAGGAAATTCTCATTTAGATAATCTAATAGTGAATTATCCTTTTTGTTGTGTGCCTGTACTGGGACTTGAACTTCAAGCTTCACACTGTTGCTCACACCTGGTGCTCTTGAGCCATAACTCCACTTTTAGATTTCTGCTAGTTTATTGGAGATGAGAGTCCCTAGGATTTGTTTGCCTGGGCTGGCTTCCAACTGGAGTCTTTAGATCTCAGCCTCCTGAATAGATAGGATTACAGGTCTGAGCCACCTGTGCTCAGCATGAGTTACTGTTTAAAGACTTTTCTTTCTATGTTTTTATAGGTTAAAGAAGATAACCAGGAAATAGCCAGCATGGAGAGACAGTAAGTACCATTATACTTGAATATTTTCTGTTTATTTGCCCTCATCTGACACTAATAAGGTAAAAGAGTTCATCTCTTTTTTGGGGGTAAGGGGGGGTCTGGTTGTGGGGCCTGAACTCTGGGCCTGGGCACTGTCCCTCAGCTCTTCAGCTCAAGGCCAGCGCTCTACCGCTTGAGCCACAGTGCCACTTCCGGCTTTTTTTTTGCTTATGTGGTGCTGAGGAATCAAACCCAGGGCCTCAGGCATGCAAGGCAAGCGCTCTACCACTGAGCCACCTTCCCAGCCCCGAGAGTTCATCTATTTATAGGTATCTTTTCTGTAGTTCAAATTGATAATAATGATGCAGCTTTCCAATTTATTGCTTTAAACGTTTGAGCATATAAGAGCCATTACGTAATATAATCACTTTTTTTTTGGTGTTAGTGGAGATGGAATTCAGGGCCTCCTGCTTGCAAGGCAGGTGCAATACCACTTGAGCCATGTCTCCAGCATCTTTTTAGTGTTGATTTTTTTTTTGGTAAACAAGTTGCTTTATTCACAGTAGTACTGATTATTTTTGAAGTAGGATTTTGCCCCATCTCTACAGTCTCCCTTCTTTTTTTTTCAATTTTAAAAGAAACTATTTATCATACAAAAATGCATAGAAAAATAGACAAATAAAGTATACATATGCATGTAATTTTCTTTTTTATTGATTTTTAAAAATTAATAAGTTTTTGATGGTGAAAATACCGTGCAGAGGGGTTACAATTACATGAGCAAGGTAATGAGTACATTTCTTATCAAGCATTGTTGCCTCCTCCTTTGCTTCCCCTTACCATCCCTGCTCCCCATATCCGCCTTCCCCCACCCCCCGCAAAGCTGTAAAGTTGGTTTTTCCACATAATGCCTTGTACATCTCATTGTTGCAATGGGTCCACCTGTATCCCTATTAAAACAATTTGTTTTTTTCCTTCCCCTCCACAAATACAGTGAAAACAGGGGTTATACCATGGGGAAGGACATTCAAAGCAACAAAGAAATTATCTTATAAATATGTTAGAAACAATAGCAAGAAAGAAAAACCATTTGAGTCCTTATCTTGGGGTTCATCAGTCTTCCTTCTTGTGCTTCTCTGTGATGTCTAGGATGACAAGTGCATGCCATTTTACTTTGCCTGTATCTGGTATAACAAGCATGCATCAATGCATATCACCAAGCCCAGCCATTGAGTGATATGGAGTCTTTCAAACTTTTTTGCCCAAGCTGGCTTTTAGCTATAATCCCATGATCTTCACCATTCAGGAAGAATTACAGGCTAGAGCTACTATACCTAACACAACCTTTTATTAGTATTTTGTTGCTCTATTAGTATATCATTTATATCATAGAATTCACATATTAAAAGTATGCAATTCACAGTTCTTTAGTTTAGAGTTGTACAACCATAATCCCAATTTTAAAACAGTTTTTTTTCACCCCAGTATAATCCCACATTTTAACCCTTCCTGTCTGTTCTCTTAGCTCTTGGACAACAAGTAATGTACTTCATGTCTCTGTAGATTTGCCCTATTCTGGACATTTCTTAGTGGAATCATACAGTGTATAGTCCTATGTAGCTGGATGGTTTCATTTAGTATAATGTTTTCAAGATTCATCTGTGTTGTAGCATTATATCAGTATTTAATTTCTTTTCATTTCTAAGTAGTATCCACTGTATACATATGCCTTATTTTATCCATTCTTCAGTTCATGAACATTTGGCTTACTTCTATTTTCTTGGTTACTATGATCATATTGATGTGAATATCCCTGTGCTGTTTTATTTGTGTGTGTGTGAGTGTGTGTGTGTGTGTGTGTGTGTGTGTGCGCGCGCGCACGCCAGTCCTGGGGCTTGAACTCAGACCCTGAGCCCTGTTTTCTGAGGTTTTATGTGTAAGACTAACACTCTACAACTTGAGCTACAGCTCTGCTTCTGGTTTTTAATAATTAATTGGAGTTAAGAGTCTCACAGACTTTCCTACCCAGACTGTCTTTGAACTGTAATCCTCAGATCTCAGCCTCCTACGTAGCTAGACTTAGATGTGAGCCACCAGTGCCCATCCGATGTATAGTTTTACTTATTTTGTGTATGTCATGTGGTAACTTTGTGGGGTTTTTTCCTTCCTAAGTTGAAGTTCCATCTAGATCAACTGATGGTACAAGACAAACGCAGGGGAAAATTTTAATTTGTATAATATTCTTCAAATGGTAGATTTTTTTCTTCATTTTCTAATTTCTTAGAATTTGGAAAGTAGTATGGAGGTTCCTCAAAAGAGTTCCCCTATGACCCAGCAATCCCACTTTTGGGCATTTACTCAAACGTTTACAAACAAGACCACACTAAAGCTACCAGCACAACTATGTTTATTGCAGCATTATTTACTATAGCTAATTTATGGAACCAACCCAGATATCCCTCAGTAGATGAATGGATCAAGAAAATGTGGTATATATACACAATGGAATTCTATGCCTCCATCAGAAAGAATGACATT